GGCTGCTGAGCCTGGAGGAGAGCACGGGGTCTGTCTTCACATAATTAGGGGTCTTAAGGAACTAGATATGTTTTAAATAGCTCCTGCGATAATGCTGGCACTAATGGAGGGGCACCCATTGAGTTCTTGAGAGGCAAATTTGTGCTCAGTATATGGACTTTCCCTCCCTAATAGTTAGAGCTATCCAAAGGCAGAATGAGGCTTTATAAAGTAATAAAGACCGGTTGCACATAAGGACCATCTATCTCTCAAGGCTCTCTTTCAACCTGTAAAGTCAGTGGCTACAACATTTCATCTTTGTCAACATTCAAGTACCAATGCAGGACACACTGCCCTTTCACCATACAGATGAATTCTTTTTTTTCTTTTTTAAAATTTTTTCGATTACAGTTTACTTCTAATGTTATTTTGCATTGGTTTTTGTATTTTGTATGCATAGCGGTTAGATAACCATACACTTACAAAAGTGGTCCCCCCAGTATTTCCAGTATCCACCTGGCACCATACATAGTTATTGCAATATTATTGACTATATTCCCTGTGCTGTACTTTACATCCCATGACTATTTTGTAACTACCAACTTGTATTTATACTTCTTAATTCCTTCACCTCTTTCTCTCAGTCCCCCAACACCCCTCTCCTCTGGCAACCATCAGTCTGTGCTTATGAGTCTTTTCAGTTTTCTTTGTTTATATTGTCCTTTATAAATCCCACATGTAAGTAAAATCCTATGGTATTTGCCTTTCCCTGACTGACTTATTTCACTTAGCATAATACCCTGTAGGTCCATCCATGTTGTTGCAAATGGTAAGATTTTGTTCTTTTTATAGGTACCACAGCTTTTAGATCCACGCATCTATTGATGGGGCACCTGGGTTGTTTAGATAGACTCTTTTTAAAAATATGGTGGCCACATTACTGCTGTTGGAAAACTGTGACTCGTGCAAGTACTGAAGGGATGCTATAGGGCCAAGGCCTGTCCTTTCAGTAGGAGGGAGGTGTGACATGGTCAGTGCAGCATGCCAAATGATACGCTGGCGCATTACCTTTCTAGTGAGTGTATGATTTCCTCTGGAGACTTCATCAGATGACTGTTGTCTGTAAAGCCAGCATGCATTGAAAGGAGAGTTAGAGCGACAATAGCCCACCAGAGTCTCTGTTGTTCTGGGAAGTTACCTCACACAGAAATGTTTCCACCTGCAAAAAGGCTGTTCTTAAGTCTATTGGACTTTCAGCGCAGGTGACAGTACACATTCTACTTCTAACAACCCTTTTGGTTGAGGCCAACACTGACTCGCACTTGCTCTGGATGCCTTTGTTGTCAGCCACGGGAGGTCAGGATGTGAAAGCTAGGTAGAACTTCTGTGCAGGTTTCAGGTGAGACCATAAACTGGTGAGAAAGGAAGCAGGGGTTAGGGATGAACAGAGATGGAGATTTTTATTTTTCCTGGCATTTCTCAGCACTACAGTATGTAGACGACACCTCTCTCTAAAAGTCACTATCTCTAAAAGCCAGGTTTCTAGGCTACCCTATATCAGAGGAGAGGGAGAAAGAATGCTTCCTAAGCCACAATAGGGTTGTACCTCCCCCAATCCCTACATGCACACCCAAGGAGGGAATCCACTTCTGTTCTCTTTCTCCAAACTGCCAAAAAAAACCCCAAAAAACAAACAAACAAAAAAACAGGTCCATAATAGCTTTCTCTCCTTTCTTCACCCAGGGCCAAAGTGCGGACAGCTGACATATTGATTAATGTAAATGGACCCAAAGCTGACAGGCCCTCTCACTCAATTTTGGGGGAGAAAATAATTTACCTTTTAAGCCTTAATGATTTTTGATCATTCTGAGTTGAGCAGCAAGGCACATCTATGTCTAAAAGCATGATATATCATACATGTTTATAAGATGTAAACTGGAAACAAGAAATGTCAGGTATATGTTCTTAATCACATTTTAAAAAGTCTACCTAGTTCTTTCCTTAGAGCCAAAACTGCTTGTTCGGTCAATTCTCTCAAAATCTGTGTTTATTCATATAGCCTTTATTTAGTCTAAAGCAAAGTTAGAAAATATATACAGCAGTGTTTACATTAATATTATATAAAGAATCTGGTTTATGCACATGGGTCAGTGCCAGGGAATTCAAATTGCTCTCAGAGGGAGAGAGTGAGAAAGAGGGAAGGAGGAAGGGAGGGAAAAGAAAGGAAGAAAGAAAAATTGGAGTTGGACTAAAACCTGCTGTTTTTGCTTGCCTCGTTCCATTAATTCCATCGCAGCCATTTTAACACTCAGTAAAGTCAAAGAGACTTTTTATTCAGCTATGTTGGAAAAACCTGCTTGCAATGAGGCATAAAGAGAAAAGTTCTAATTCCCCAGGGCTTTCATATTTGGTTAATTACCTTATTGGGATTCTGACCAGTCGTGATCAGGAAAGAGCTGGGAGACAAAGGAGCCAGACAGGAGCGGAAACAGGAGCATCACCCCCTGCTGGGTTAGTTTCTTTTGGGAGGTGACTAGCAAGTTACTTGCATGTCACACCTCAGTTTCCTTACCTACTAAATGGTGGGGGTTGAGGGGTGGAGGTGGGGGTGGGGGAAGGGAACAGCTCACCCTGGGAATCTGTGAGGACTGAATAACATCCTATGTAATGCCCCTAGCACAGTGCCTGGCACGTGGTCAATGCTCAAAAACTGTTAGAAAGCAAAGAAAAAAAAAGGAGGGGTTTCCCAACTAGCCCATCACCTAAAAGAAAACAAAATACCTCCAGTTTATTAGCACGAAATCATAGAAGTCTGTTTCTGAAAGGGACTTGAAGTAACCGGTCTGGTGTTTTTGGTTGGTTTGTCTTTAAGCCAGGGCTGTTCAAACAGTATTATAAGGAACCTACTGTGTCAAAGAAATGGAAGCGGAGCTGACACTTGGTGGGGCACAGAAGTGGCCCCAGCTCCATCCTCCCGTCCTTCCCTCCACCGGAAGATGGTGAGGCATCTGGTACCTTCCAGAGCATAGTCTGAAACCAAAATTCTGGTCCTACTCTGCCATTTCACCAATAAGGGAATGGCACTGAAATGTGAAGTGGCCTTTCCGTGGTACAGACAGTGACATTCCTATCATTTTCCAGTGCAGCCCATGGAAAGGAATGGATGGGGCCAAAACATGTGAAGGAGTACTTGACAAAGGGTTCTTACGGAGAGACTTTTAAAAGATCTAGAGCTTTAGTTCAAAATTTGTAAACCATATTTTTCTCTAGTAAAGGATAATCTTTTGGGCCCATTTCCATTTTTGTGTTTATTTTCAACTCTCTTTCATGTCACTTAACATTTTCTCTGTGTGGTTCTAGTACCTTCTATTAGCCTTGAGGACAAATAGGTTTCCATTAAATTTGACTAGAAGCTTCTTCACCTCCTGCACCCTCTACCTTGGCCTTCTGTAGTCCCTTTTGATGCTAAAGAGAATGCTATGATTCCTAAATGTTTTCACATTCAGGGGTATTTTACTTCAACCTCCTGACTGGCGTGGTCTTTCTGGCATGTTAGCACAGCACAAAAATGTAAACATGAAGCTGACCCAGTGAAAGTTTGAACTCAATGTATTTTCCTTCTGAGATAAGGCGATGTTTGTACAAACAACCTCGGACTCTATTTGGATAAGAAAAAAGATAGAACACAATTTATGACTGCCGCACTGTTTCCAAATGCGGTCAGTTTCCTGTTGGGTTATTCATGTGTCTTGATATCCCTGTGGAACACTGCAAGTTTTTTCACACTTACTTTCAGAAGAGAAGAACGTTGAGTTGTGGGGTACTGTGGGGAGTGGGATTCTCAGTTGTCATGACAGGTGACCCGGAGTCTCCTGGTGCATAGCTCTGTTTGTACTGCTCACCCGGGCTTCTGACTCACTCTGCTCCTATCCACTCCTCTGGACAGAGACTCCATGGGAGCAGGGGCATATCCTTTAAAGCTCTCTGAAAGGTCTCTATACCCAACTCCCTGGCTCAGAGTTTGTTCCAAAAAATAATTTATTGACTGATTTTCCAAGAGATCTCCTAGATGTTAATCAGGCATGTTGATAACTCCATTATTGTGGATTCCTATACCAAAGGAAAATACATAGCATGATAGTATTTCACTGGTTTGAAATATATGGAATTGAATAAGAGAGTGCTGTTAGAACAAAGCAAAAAATCCCTTAAACGACAATAGATTCCAGTTTCCAGACCAATTGAACTAGACTGGAGACAATGAATTCAATAGCAATACATACAAGAATAATAACTATGTTCATTGAGCACTTACTGTATACCAGGCATAATTCTAAAAGCTGTATGTATCGTATCTCATTTAATCCTTACAACAATCCCATGAGGTAGGCTATTACTATCCCCAAGGCTTAAATCATTATTCACCGTGGTGGTGAGATTTGAACCCAGGCACTGTGTTTCCAGAGCCCACGTAACCAGTAAATAACTAACTGAGTGAATGAAATACATACAGGAAACAATGATGCTTTCACCATAGTACAAATACAACAGACTCAACAGCTCTTACATCTCAGAGTATTTCCTAGTTGAAGGCTCTGATGTCCTAAATTTCCTGATTTTAGAGAAAGGTGAGAAAGAAAGATAAGAGAAAGCCATTAAAGTGTTAAAAGTTTTTCTTGTTCTGCTCTGATAGAGAATATTATAAATCACTGATCTATTTAATTTTAGTAACAAATTTTATTTCTTAAGGCATATTTCTTTTGAGTTACTCTAGGCATTTCTCAGATATTACCCAAATGATTTTTACCACACCACCATGAGAATGTTAAAGGCAGACCTTACGCCCTCTGTAAAGATGGTTAAACTGAGGCAAAGTAAGGCTAAGTCACTTGCCCAAAATCCTGTTCCTCAACCCTGGCCTTCTGAGTATCAGTTCCCTCTCTTCTGGCAGCATTGTCTCACATCAGTAACAAAGGATCTTATGATGGCTGTGAAAACAAAGATGCCGTCTTCTCTTTTAGGTTTGGATGGGTCCTAAAAGATCTTGATTTGCTCCTGAGGAAATACTATTTTGCTGGGTCAGTTGCCCATCATCCCATCCTGCCAGTCAACCATGAGCCAGCCAGATCTTGCCAACAACCCAGATCTCAGCCCTGACCCACTGTGTGTGGTGTGTGGCCAGTCCCACTCCCCTGAGGAAAATCATTTCTACACCTATACAGAAGATGTGGACGATGACCTCATATGCCACATCTGCCTGCAAGCATTGCTGGACCCTCTTGACACGCCCTGCGGACACACCTACTGCACTCTCTGCCTCACCAACTTCCTAGTAAACAAGGACTTCTGCCCCATGGATCGCATGCCGGTGGTTCTCCAGCACTGCAAGAAATCCAGCATCCTGGTCCACAAGCTCCTCAACAAGCTGATGGTGACCTGCCCGTTCACCGAGCACTGCACCGAGGTAGTGCAGCGCTGTGACCTCGAGCAGCACTTTCAAACCAGGTAGGGCCTCCTCCTTGGAACTTGTCTGTCTCCTGAGAGCAGTACTGCCTCCCGGGTCCTGGCTGCTCCACGAGAGGCCTGTTTCTCTGTCTTCTTCTGGGCAACCAGTGAAACGGTTCCTTCAAAATAAGAAATGTTTTAGGCGTTTATGGTCATGGTTCAGTGTAAGGAAATGGCACATGGTGGAGTTGTGTTATGTGTATGTGTTTATAGGGCTTTTTTTGGTGGCAAAATAGACGTAAAATTTACCATTTTAACAATTTTCCAAGTGCCTCGTTCAGTGGCCTTAAATGCATCGCGTTGTTGTGCATTATCCCTCACCAGCGCCCATCCTCGGAACTTTTTCATCTTCCAGAAGTGAAACTTTGTACCCATTCAACAAAAACTCCCCCATTCCCTCCCCTCCAGAATTGGTTACCATGACTCTACTTTCTGTCTCTATAGTTTGACTCTTCTGGAAACCTAGAAAAGGGGGATTATTCGATGTTTGCCGTCTTGTGACTGGCTTCTTTCATATGAGTGCATTTCAAAATGTGAAAAACACTGGAAGGATCTGGTGAGCAACTTTCTCTGGGGCTCATGGTCCCCAAAAAGATCTCTAGTTGGGCATTGCTTGTCTTTTCACATAAGAAAAAAAAAACATCTCCTAACATGACCCACAATTATTAGAATTTCCTCTGTATGGGAATTAGCAAAGCACAAATGTTCTTTGAAGAGATATGAGGTATTTTCAACTAAGGATTAAAATGAGAAATTTAGAAACCTTTTGTCTCTTAAGCGGATTGTTCTATGAACTTTTCGGCCACGGTGCCCACTCTGGCAGGAAAGCAGCAGTGCGCTCCCCTCTGCTGGCAGCGATGTCCCTGTGCCACCTGTCCGCCTCTGATTTTGTCCACTTGCATCATCCTGTCCCTGGCATTCCTCAGGGCGTCCCTGGGTCTTGTTCCACATGAGCTACTCTCTTAGAACATTTAAGGTGCTTAGTAAAGTGTGAACAGTAATACCACAATTATATTGTAAGAGGAAATGTGGAAGCTGGTGTTTATCTTGGTTTCTGTCATGACCAGGGCAAGAGGGAGGCGCAGATATTTTTTCCTAAGGTCACATTCCTTAGGTCATGCATCTGAGTCTTTGTCTTTTGGGACATGCAGATTCTCTAACGTGGAAGGTCGCGTCCAAAGCCACGGTCTGGGCGCCATGCTCCACACATGGTTTCCATACCAATTGTGTCAGTGAACTCATCTTTCTCCCCAAGATGTTGAGCCAAATGCATCTAACTTGGGTTGTGGGTTGCCTCGGACCCTCTGTTATGGTTGGAGTTTAACTTATGATCCTCCTCTTCTCTGATTGACTGGAAGGAGGCGTGGCCAGAGGAAAAGGGAATAGGGAATCTATTTGTGACCTTTGCTGAAGGTTTTGTGCAGGGAGGAAAAGTATTGTCTGGAGGGAAGTAGGTCTGGGGTCAGAGGGGAGGTGGCTGTTGTAGGTGCTGGTGCAGAGCCAGGGCCACGTCTGGGGCTACACTGGGAAGCAGAGCTGAGGAGCATGAGGAGAAGGCCCTGGTACAGCTCCCTCCAAACATCACATTCCTGGGTTGTTGAAACGTACACATCCCTGTTTGGGAGCTCTATCAGTGTCCATTTGCTGCTGTAACAAGTGGGCACAAACCTAATGGCTTAAAACCACAAACACATGTTATCTTACAATTCTGAGGGTTCTAAGTCCACCCTGGATCTCAAGGTACTAACATCAAAGTGTGGGGAGGGCTAGTTCCTTTTGGCTCTAGGGGAGAATTGCTTTCCTTGCTTTTCGAGCTTCTGGGGGTCACCTTGGCTTCTGTCTCCTTTCTCTATCTTCAATGCCAGCAGCATGGAAGCATAGCCGTTGCCCCTTTCTCACTCTTTATCTCCTCACCACCCTCTGTTTCCATGGTCACCGTCTCCTCTGTGGCTCTGACCCGCCCACCGCCCTCTCACGAGGACACTGGCGATTGCATTGGGATCCACGCACTGCGTCCACCTGGGTAATCTAGGGTCCCCTCTTCACCCCAGCACCCTTACCTTCGGCACAACTGCAAATCCCTTTTGCCACATAAGGTAATATAGTCTCAGGTCCTGGGGATTAGGAGGTGGACGTCTTGGGGGTGGTCATTATCCTGCCCACCGTAGGACTTTTACAGGGAAAGGAGGAAAGAGAGAGAAGGAAATAAATGGGGTGCTTTCACCCAGCAGTTGCTCCTCGTCCCCTCATCTAGAACTGATTTGGGGGCAAGGAACATCCTTTTAAAAAACCGGGGTAAGATGGGCCATGGACCTGAGGGCAAGGCCAGAACAGAGGCGGGGCAGGGGAAGGGCTCGGAAGAGGTTTTTGGGGACTTTTGCGGTCCCCAGAAGGGAGATGCTGCAGCACATTCAGCGGCTCAGATGGGACTTTCATTCACTGTCCACGCAGGCGGCGTGACCCACACACCCAGAGGAGCCCTGGGGGGTCCCCTTGATGAACACTCAGCTGCTACTGCTGTGCACAGTGGGAAACAACAGGAAGGAAAGAACGCAAAACCAATTAATGTCGCCTCTATGAGCTGCGACCCTGAAGTCCGGCACAGGCCTGGGCTGCTCTCTGCGCAGGGAAACCCCCAGGCAGGAGGTGCGGCCTCGGCGCTTCTCTGGATCCTCTCCACACTTCAGCTTCCTAAGTAGGTTAAACCAACATTTCCAAAAATATGGTGTATATGTTAGTCATCAAATGCTTATTATACACTTCTCTCCTCCCAGCCTCTGGGCGTTTTATGGGCGAGGAGAGAGAATTTGGAGCTAATCCAGAACCTGACTCCACAGCCCTCTCGGACCGTAGACCTGGGCCGGCAGACCACCTCTTCGTTCCCTGAGAAGGGGTCTTAAGATTAACTAGTTACTATCTCTGGACTTCCGTGAACTGGGAACACTAAGAGGCAAGTGTTTTCCTTGCTTTTCTATATGAGGCTTCCAGGCTGGTGGCTGCCTGTAGGAGGGTATTGTCATATGTTCACCCTAGAAGGTAGCTTTGTTTATAAATTTTGCCTCTTGGTGTCATGATTTACATATAATGAATTAAAAAAAAATTCTTTGGCTTATGGCAGTATATGAATGTAAACTAGTCAGGCTGAGTCAACCTGGCATGGAGAACTTCGCATTGATTCTGGTTGAAAACCACCACCATTGCCATGTGACTGATAGGGACCCCCATGCGCCCTTCCGGTGTGCACAGCAAATCTTCCTAACTGAACTTCACAGGAAACTCCACACTTAGGTTTGTCTTCCTGTAAAGTGGGAATTTATTTCAGTGGGCTCCTTGAATACAAAGTTCTTGCAGAAATAATCACATCCAGGATGTTTCCATATTGTCTCAAAAAAAAAAAAAGGACACCAAATAGAGAAATGTTTTCCCCAAAGGCCAAGGTCCTTAGGACCACGCTAATGATAACGGTACACTTGAGTCAGGGAGACAGGCAGATGGCATCTCATCTGTAAACAAATACTGCCTGTTTTCTCCAGAATTTGTATCATTTGTAAACCTTGTTATCTAGCTACTTCAGATCTTTAGTTGAATGTAAATCTTTAAGTGAAATATTTAGGGCTGAGTGTGGCTATGCATGACTGGCTGCACCAGCAACTACTTGGATAACTGTTTCCGACTTGAGCCCTCCTATGTGAGTAAATCTGAGCATGCGAACTAATGTTTGGAATCTCCTGGCTAATTCTGTTGCCTTCTGCCCTCTTAGATGCTTGCAGACTCCCATCACATGGGTTTACTGCAAAGAATTCCCATGAGGTTGATGGGTTTGTCGAGCCAAATGGCAGCTTTCCTAACTGAAGGCTGCAGCAGACATAGCGGGGACACCGCAGAGGGCCAAGGCAATGCATCGTTCCTGACCCAGACTGTTGGAGGGTGGGTGGAGGAGGCAAAGCCTTGCCTTTCTAGAGTTTGAGTGGGAGTAATCGTAGGCTCAAGACTACATCCTTTTTGTGAATATCATCATCTGCATCTGTAATATTTATCAAGACCCACAATAGGCCAGGCCCTGAAAGAAAAATCTACACAAGCCATGATATCTGCCTCTGAGGAAATGATATTTTAAAGGTAAAAGAGAGAAGTCGAAAACACACACACACTGAATCTTTTCATAGCACAAGTCACTTTGCCCTTCAGCTTCTCTCTTAGGGCAGATAATAAAAATGGGAGATAATAAAGCTGACCCTTCTTAAGTATCTACTAGCGTGGATAAAGAAATCTTTGTTCAGTGTTTTGAAATCAACCCTGAATGGAAATGTGATGTAGTTGGCACACCTGACTGAAGGCTCTCGGGGTTATTTTCTTGATTAACTTTGGACCCAGTGTCCTGGAAGTTTCTTCTCCAAAGATCTATCCTGGAACCGCTCTTGAGCTATTACTTCTGTCAGGGGCCCTTTTCTGTACTGTGTTCAGTACAAGACAGGCTCAGTGAGCTGTTTCCAGTGCAGGGAGGATTTTACTGCTGGGCCGAAGGTCTACGGCAAGATCACGCTAGGAGAGGTGGGTAAGTTAGAAGTCTTGTTGGTCACTGCAGCCTGGCTCAACTTCTCCACTATAACTTTGACATATATCCTTCATCTGACTTTCCTACCCTGATCCCAACATTTTCCTGGCTTTACCTACTGGAGAGCCCCTCTTTGGCTCTCCTGGGCATGGGAGAAATGAGGCATTTTATTCCTGCATTACTTTTTGAGAGAATCATTGAATTTCCATCAGATTATACTCCAAAAAATTCTTTAAAGAAACAACATTCTCCTGGGCACTCATTCCCAGAAATTTTCCTTACCTTGTTTCTTTCTCCCTGGTCATTTATTAGCCATCTGTATAAATGCTTTACCCCTCCCCCCACCATGGCTCTTGTAAAGTTTGAAATTCTGTTTTGCTAACTTGTCTCTGATCAGGAGAGCTGGTCTAAATAATTGACTCTTTAACTGAGTCTAATTCTTTTC